CGTTTCCCCCAGGGGGGTCCGGAACACCCCGATCCGCACTTCGATCAGATTTCGAAAAAACACCAGTCATTTTTCAAATCGCTTTACGCCCAAAATTTTTTCATGCTATCCGGTCAATCTTAACGTGTTCTAACAGCCCATGATAGTCGATCGCTCGAGCGGGTCCGGAACATACTTTTTCAGAGTTAGGGTGGGTTTATATGGCCGTCCTCACGAGAAAAAAAAATTGTTTCAAAAAATTTGGCTTACGCCCAAAATTTTTGTGCGAATCTGTGTTATTTAACACATGTTCTAAATCCCACCAAGCCGTTTCCCTAGGGGGGTCCGAACACCCCGATCCGCACTTCGATCAGATTCGAAAAAACACCTGTCATTTTTCAAAATCGCTTTAGCCCACCCAAATTTTTCACTGATATCTGGTCAACTTAACGTGTTCTAACAGCCCATTGATAGTCGATCGCTCGAGCGGGGTCCGGAACATACTTTTCAGAGTTAGGGTGAGTTTACATGGCGTTTCGCGCAAAAAATAATTATATTTAAAAAAAATTGGCTTACGCCCAAAATTTTTTTGTACGAATCGTGTTTATTTAACATGTTCTAACATCCCACCAAGCCGTTTCCCCCAGGGAGGTCCGGAACACCCCGATCCGCACTTAGATCAGAATTCGAAAAAAACACCTGTCATTTTCAAAATCGATTTACGCCCAAAATTTTTTCACTGCTATCCGGTCAACTTAAACGTGTTCTAACAGCCATGATAGTCGATCGCTCGCGAGCGGGTCCGGAACATACTTTTTCAGAGTTCGGGTGAGTTTACATGGCGTTCGCGCTAAAAAATTATATTTCAAAAAAATTGGCTTACGCCCAAAATTTTTTTTGCGAATCGTGTTATTTAACATGTTCTAACATCCCACCAAGCCGTTTCCCCCAGGGGGGTCCGGAACACCCGATCCGCACTTCGATCAGAATTCGAAAAAACACCTGTCATTTTCAAAATCGCTTTACGCCCCAAAATTTGTTCACTGATATCCGGTCAACTTAACGTGTTCTACAGCCCATGATAGTCAATCGCTCGAGCGGGGTCCGGAACATACTTTTTCAGAGTTAGGGCGAGTGTTACATGGCGTTCGCGCAAAAAAATTATATTTAAAAAAATTGGCTTACGCCAAAATTTTTTTGCGCGAATCGTGTTTATTTAACATGTTCTAACATCCCACCAAGCCGTTTCCCCCAGGGGGGTCCGGAACACCCCGATCCGCACTTCGATCAGAATTCGAAAAAACACCTGTCATTTTTCAAAATCGCTTTACGCCCAAAATTTTTTCACTGATATCCGGTTCAACTTAACGTGTTCTAATAGCCCATGAGTCGATCGCTCGAGCGGGGTCCGGAACATACTTTTTCAGAGTTAGGGTGGGTTACATGGCGTTCGCGCTAAAAAAATTATATTCAAAAAAATTGGCTTACGCCCAAAATTTTTTTGGTGAATCGTGTTTATTTAACATGTTCTAACATCCCACCAAGCCGTTTCCCCAGGGGGGTCCGAACACCCCGATCCGCACTTCGATTAGATTTCGAAAAAACACACCAGTCATTTTTCAAAATCGCTTTACGCCCAAATTTTTTCACTGATATCCGGTAAACTTAACGTGTTCTAACAGCCCATGATAGTCGATAGCTCGAGCGGGGTCCGGAACATACTTTTCAGAGTTAGGGTGAGTTTAGATGGCGTTCGCGCTAAAAAAATTATATTTCAAAAAAATTCGCTTACGCCCAAAATTTTTTTGTGCGAATCGTTTATTTAACATGTTCTAACATCCCACCAAGCCGTTTCCCCTAGGAGGTCCGGAACACCCCGATCCGCACTTCGATCAGAAGTCGAAAAAAACACCTGCTTTTTCAAAATCGCTTTACGCCCAAAATTTGTTCACTGATATCCGGTCAACTTAACGTGTTCTAACAGCCCATGATAGTCGATCGCTCGAGCGGGGTCCGGAACATACTTTTCAGAGTTAGGGTGGGTTTATATGGCGTCCTCACGAAAAAAATATGTTTCAAAAAAATGGCTTACGCCCAAAATTTTTTTGTGCGAATCGTGTTTATTTAACAGTTCTAACATCCCACCAAGCCGTTTCCCCCAGGGGGGTCCGGAACACCCCGTTCCGCACTTCGATCAGAATTCGAAAAAAACACCTGTCATTTTCAAATCGCTTTACGCCCAAAATTTTTTCACTGATATCCGGTCAATTAAACGTGTTCTAACAGCCCATGATAGTCGATCGCTCGAGCGGGGTCCGGAACATACTTTTTCAGAGTTAGGGTGGTTTACATGGCGTTCGCGCGTAAAAAAATTATATTTCAAAAAAATGGCTTACGCCCAAAATTTTTTTGTGTCAATCGTGTTTATTTAACATGTTCTAACATCCCACCAAGCCGTTTCCCCCAGGGGGTCCGGAAACCCCGATCCGCACTTCGATCAGATTTCGAAAAAACACCAGTCATTTTTCAAATCGCTTTACGCCCAATATTTTTCACTGATATCCGGTCAACTTAACGTGTTCTAACAGCCCATGATAGTCGATCGCTCGAGCGGGTCCGGAACATACTTTTCAGAGTTAGGGTGGGTTTATATGGCGTCCTCACGAAAAAAAATATGTTTCAAAAATTGGCTTACGCCCAAAATTTTTTTGTGCGAATCGTGTTTATTTAACATGTTCTAACATCCCACCAAGCCGTTTCCCCTAGGGGTCCGGAACACCCCGATCCGCACTTCGATCAGAATTTCGAAAAAACACCTGTCATTTTTCAAAATCGCTTTACGCCCAAATTTTTTCACTGATATCCGGTCAACTTAACGTGTTCTACAGCCCATGATAGTCGATCGCTCGAGCGGGGTCCGGAACATACTTTTTCAGAGTTAGGGTGAGTTTACATGGCGTTCGCGCAAAAAAAATTATATTAAAAAAATTGGCTTACGCCCAAAATTTTTTGTACGAATCGTGTTTATTTAACATGTTCTAACATCCCACCAAGCCGTTTCCCAGGGAGGTCCGGAACACCCCGATCCGCACTTAGATCAGAATTCGAAAAAACACCTGTCATTTTTCAAAATCGATTTACCCAAAATTTTTTCACTGATATCCGGTCAACTTAACGTGTTCTAACAGCCCATGATAGTCGATCGCTCGAGCGGGGTCCGGAACATACTTTTCAGAGTTAGGGTGAGTTTACATGGCGTTCGCGCTAAAAAAATTATATTTCAAAAAAATGGCTTACGCCCAAAATTTTTTTTTGCGAATCGTGTTTATTTAACATGTTCTAACATCCCACCAAGCGTTTCCCCCAGGGGGGTCCGGAACACCCCGATCCGCACTTCGATCAGAATTCGAAAAAACACCTGTCATTTTTCAAAATCGCTTTACCCCAAATTGTTCACTGATATCCGGTCAACTTAACGTGTTCTAACAG